TCTAAGCACATGTAGTTCGGTTGATGCTAAATCTGGGCCTATCTGAGTAGTTTCATGATTATTGTTTGAGTGTTTTTTAATATATAAATGAATACAGCTTTACAGATAAATGAGCTGACTAGAAGGGAGACATTCCCATTTTTCCTTGTGTCATCAGCCTTTACCATTTGTAGTAAACTCTCTAAGAGAAAACAATATTGTGAAGTGAGTACATTAGCAACATATTCTGTGATTTATTGTTGTTTCAGAGTTTGCGGGGAGGGGGAGGCCTTTCTATTATGTACCTTCATCTTCAAAATAGAAGTCGTCCTAATTCATAAGACTTAATACAGGGCGGGAGCTGAGGGGGCAGGGAACTCTTTCTGGTCTGTCTTACTTTTGTGTAAGATCCTAAATAAATACCCATAAGTGAGGCTGTATATTAAAAGAAAAAAATCCGCTAGACCTAGAGAAAAGCCTGGAAATGCATGTTCAAATTATTTTATTCTTTTTAGTCTGCTGAGTTGGCACTAGTCACTTTTTGTTTGTTTGTTGTTTGTTTGTTGTTTGTTTGTTTTGCATGGTTCTTCTGAGTCCAAAACCAATACTGAATCCAGCTGTCACAGCTTGTTGTTTAGCTGCCTTCACTGCTGCTGGAACGTGCATGTGCTCTGGCAGCAGTTTTCTTTGGAACATCCAGTTAAATGAATGGGACATCAAGATGCTCTAGGTATGTTCAGCCCCACTGGACAAGCTCATTTGCTGGATGTATCCAGTATGCTATTTAGTAGTGAAGTGGTTAACAGGGATCATTGTTCGGCTTTAGAGTCCCTTAACCTCTTTGCTGTTGAGAATAATGAAAAAGCTCCTTTGCTAAAGTCATTTTGAAAGCTAAAAATCAGTTTCTGCCCCTGTCAAATTATATTCATTTTTTAACTACCCATGGCAAAGTGTATGTTCCTTTTTCCACTTGTTCTGAGTTTGATTTTTCAAAGGTTTATCACTAAAATTGCCTCTTGTATTTGCACGTGCAAACCCCTGTGCTCACAATTTTCAGCATTAATCTATGCATGTATAGCTGACCAGCTCAAACATTGATATGTTCTGATATCAGGGCTTGAAAATTGAATATGCAAGCATCTGCATGTCCATATATTCTGAAAATCTGGGCTTATGACTTTGATGACACTGAGGATTTTTATCTAGCCATATAATCTATGTGGAATGCAAAATAATAATGCAACACAATGAGGCCAATATAAATTTATAACAAAACAAGTATCATAGCCCAGAAATTAGCATATGAAAGTCCTTTTTAAAAGCCTTGCCTGCATGAGAATGTTTCCCTGCTTTAACAAAAGGTAGTTTATATTGTTTTAAATAGTGTGTACCCCGGTGTGGACTCCCTTATATCAGTTATGATTAGGACTGTTTTGTTTGGGAATAAATTGCAATTCTTCTGAAAAAAAGCCACTCTTAAACTGAAATAAGAGTTTAGAGGTTGACAAAGAACTGATTCAAATTACCCTAGTAGGTAGGGAGGTAGGGTAGAGATGCCCTGTGGGAGGATAAGGGAAACTCCTTTCAGAGTTTCTGTGGAAGAGGCAGGAAATTATGACTTCCAAACTCTGCAAGTCTCTTTGTTTTAAAAGGAAAGGAACTATATGTGTTACAAACAAGGTCTACTGGGGGAATGTGCTAAATCTTTTCTCTCTAGTGGTTACTCAGGGTACATGCAGATATTTGGGGAGCTTAGCAGGAGTTTAGGCTCAATTACAAATGGCCACTCTTAGGGACCTTACACTTAGATCCCTAGTTAGGTTGATCTAAGTTCAAACTGTACAGAAGTTCAAGAAGTTTAGACCAGTCTAAAAATGGCTGACCTAGTCTAAGTTAAGTGTACCTCCAAGGTAATCTAACAGCTTGGGTCCACTGAGACTGATCTAACTGAACTCTGAACTTCTACACAGTTCCCAGAGCAGCCCCAGGGCTGGAAAAGCCCAGCCACTGGCTCTAGCCCTGGGTCTGGGCTTTCCTACCTGTTACCCTGGCACTGAGCTATATTTAACCCCATGGACCAGCCAGCCTCCCCAAGGCCTGCCAAACCCCCATCCCACAAGTTGTTCCCAGTGTTGGTTTTACCGGCATTCCCCAGTGCCGGGAGTTCAGGAAGTAAGTCAGGGTGGAGGGAGGCATTGGGCAGGATGGGGGCGGAGGGGTTGGTTCACTGGGGGAGTTGTTCATCTGGGGGTTGAGGGGAGTCAGGGGGTCTAAAAATAGCCCCTCCCCTTCCCCCCCAATCCCTTGCTAGTCCCCCTGATCCCACAAAACCCTTCTGCACCCCACTTACCCCTCTGTGGACCTTGCTTGACCCCCTGATCCCCCAAGCTCCCTTAGTGAACCATACTAGCATCCCCACTCCCCCACTTCCCCTCATGGACCCAGACTGTCTCCCTGATTATCCCACCTTCCCTGCCTCAGACCCCATTCCGCCCCCCTCACCCCCAAACCACCCAACACCCCCGTCGACCCAACCCCCCGACCCCCCTCCTGAGGACACCACTTGCCCCCTGATATTCCCTACAGACTCTACTTGCCCCCTGATCCCCTCCAATCCCCCCCCCTACAGACCCCAGTGCTCCCCCAATTCTACCAGTCCCTCCCCCTGGAGCCTCCTTGCTTTCCCAGTTCCCCCATAGTCCCTGCCAGCCCTCCCATCCTGACTTACCTTAGATTGGGTGGCCTTTTTTAATTTAATCTAATTTACCTCTAACCTCCCTGAATGTCTGTACATACACTTAATGGAAGGGTCCATTCAGAGCCAAAGTTCAGGGATGCTTTGCTTACTGATGGGATAATAAAGGTCCTTTCCTCCATCTCCTCTGGCATGACATGATAAAGGCCTGATCCAGATCCCAATGAAGTAATTGACCTTAATGTAAATGGGAACTGACATTAGTAGTGTTCCAGATACCTAAGGAAAAAGAGAAAAAAAAAAGAGGACAGTATAAAACATTAATTTTAATGCTTAGGTCTTACTTAGCATTTTTCCATTTGCAGATGTCAAAGCACTTTTAAAATCTAAATATTTTAAATTGAAGCATTCAAAAAGCAGCATTTTAACCATGTATTAACTACTTGATTTTTAATTGGTAATGTCCAATCTATAAGACAATTAAACCTCTAAGGACATGTGTGTTAGTCATCTGTATCTGGTGCAGGGCAAAGGGAAAATATGCAAACTGTGTATATAGTGAATGAAGAACTTATTCGCTGTGTACTTGAGACCAGATTATGCACTTATTTGTATCTGAACATTGCCCTGAACTTTCATGGAGATACCCAAGCTCGGCCTCACCCATAATTTAGGTGAGGTGGTAAATAAACTTGAATATTGTATCTGAATAGCATTATCTTCATTATTATTTGGTTATTATTTGTATCACAATAATGTCTCCAGCCATTATCTGCTGGGCGATGTAACACACCAATCTGAAAGAGTTATATAGAGAAAGAGGTATAAGAAATAAGGGAAAGGGAATACGCCGTTCAAGTGTGACATTGGGGCATACAAATTAAATGACTTGCCTAATGTGTCAGGAATTTTGTGGCTGAACAAGATATTAAACTTACCTAGGTATACATGGGAAAATATCAAGAAAATAGTGATACACTGGTGTATGTATGGTGTCCCTCACCTGATCTCACCACCAGGTAAAACAGCACATCTGAATTACAGCTAACAGAGTCTCTGGTTGAATTTTTCTCCCTCGAGTTACACTAATTGAGTTTGAGGCTTGGACCCTGTGAAGCTCCACAAGAGTAGAAGGTTATAACGAGCTGAATAAAATCTTAACGTTCAGCCTTCAAGGGTAAAAGAGTACCCTTCAAGGGTATGAGAGCTCCTAATTACTTGGACCCCTGATTTTACAAAGATCTCCTCAGAAACAGTTGTGAAGCAAGAGTTCACTTGCGTAAGGCCTGCATTAAGCAAAAGCTTAACTGGGGAGATCAGTAACTTATGTTAAATCGGGTATTCACACAAGCTTCAGGAGCTTGAGTGTTACACCCCACCCATCCTCCAGAAAGCTCACGTAAGCATATTTTAACTAGGAAATGTGTAGGGTTTGTCTGATTTGTACATGACGTACATAAAGTAGTTTCACCTCTCTTCCTTTTTTTTTTCCTTTTGACTGGATGAAGGAACTAAGACACCTTAGCTTTTTTGAGGCCTACTTCAGAAGTTCAAATACCTGCTGCTTGTTTTCATTAACATTTTAATTTATTCTTGATCGTTCACGCCTGTCTCCTCTATGTAGAAAATAAAGTACCGTGGGTTGTTTTTTTTCCTAATTAACTATGACTATTCACAATTCTGCAGCACATAATTAAAGCAACAGCTCTTTTGTCCAGTTTGCTGTTTCTCAGTGGTTGGATTTGCATCCACGTTACTTTTAGGCTGAAGTTTTGCCACAAGAGGGCAGTCTTTATTTTTTCTCTGCATGTTTCCTACCTTGCCTCTCAGAGGCTTTTTTCCTCTAGTACAAAGAGGTCAAGTGGTATCTGAGTGGTGCTGCCTACCTGATAGTGTTGTGTGTGGCAGGCTTAGAGCAGCAGAGGCAGCTGGAGACAGGATGCCTAAAATGTAATACTGTCATTATCTCAGTCTCTAAACGTTCAACAGAGGGTGTATGGGTTTGGACACTGAACATATCCAGCGCCTGTGATGAGGTGGCTTCAGGCTGCTGCTGCTCAGCCTTGGAAAAGCCCTCACGCACTTACTGCTACCAGAGGGGAGAGGACCCGGAAAGCTTCTGCTTTCTGCTTTTGAAAATAGCAGGCATTTCTGGCCTCTGGTTTGGGATTAAGATGAAACCAGAGTCGTATCTGGGGTTTCCCAGGTTGGCACCTGTAGAAACAGCATCCAAATCAGTGACATTTTCTGATGGACACTGAACTCTTTGGTTGTTTCTTTGAAATAAATTACCCTATTTATATACACACATATATATTTATTTTAGGTGTCCCACCCCCGGTTGTGATGGCTCTGGACACATTACTGGAAATTATGCTTCACATCGAAGGTATGTAAAGAGATTCTTTCGGGTTGTTCAATATAAAAATATCAAGCGGTGTCTATCACGTAGAAAAGGGAAAACCGCTCATCTTCTTTTCGCTGAAGAGGGTAGGACAAGAAGCAGTGGGGCTGAACTGTGGCAAAGCAAATTTAAAATAAATCTGAGAAAATAAAATGTCCTTCCTGTCCATACAGTAGGACAGTGAAACAAGCTGCGTAGGGAGGTTGGGGAAGCTCCTTTACTGGAGGTTTGCAAGAGGCTGGATAAGCTTTTGTCTAGGATAGAGTAGGAACTGCTCCATCTTGCATGTGTGGTGCGCACCGAGGCAGGATCAGGTATACTCCGACCATCCTAGACAGAGACTTATCTAGTCTTTTCTTAAAGAGAAGGAGAATTAAAGAAGATGCCCCAACTTGCTCCCCAACCAGTCAGCCGGATTTTACTAATGTCTATCCTAAATTTCATTTTCTCCAAATTAAACTTATTTCTTTCCGTCCTGTCCCCAGTTCAAATGAACAGCAATTGATCATCATCTTTATGATTTTTACATATCAGATAACTGCTAGCATGGCCCCACTCAGTCTTCTCTTTTCCAGACAAAAAAAATCCCTAATTCCTTCAGCCTTTCCTCATCGATCATATTTTCTAAATCATTTTATCATTCTTGTTGCTGGTAGACTCTCACCAATTTGTCTATATCTTTCTTTAAAATGCAGTGCCCAGCACAGTACTCCAGCTGACTTCTCACCAGTATTCAGTAGGGCAGAATAATTACCTCCCATGTCTTTCAGACACCACTCCTGTTACTATATATAACAATGAGGCTCGTTTTGTTTTGCAGCAGCATCACATGTAGACTTAAAGATGTTTCAAGCAAAATGGGGAAAGGACCTGGGAGAGAAGGGAAAATCTTAATTTGTCCAATTAAACTATTGGTATTTACATCAGGTAGTAAGAAAAGCTGCAATGGTTGAGGTATAAGTGGTAACCATAGTATCTTCTAATTCACATAAGAGGAGCTATGAGGGTACTACAATAACCATGGAGTGGTAAATGCTGAGTAGTTTACCCCCTGCATCTACATAAAAAGTATAAGGGAAAACAGCTGCTTTATACTGAAATGATTCCACTGTTTAAAAGGAGTCGTAGAATGCAAGCTCTCTTAAGTAACACAAGCTTCCTGCTCTCATTAGAGTTGGGCTTGATTGTCTTCTCTGTTACAAAGACCTATCAGTGGGAACTCAGCTGCAGGCAGTAGATACAACAGTGTAAGACTGGTATAAGACAGAAAATTAAAACATAAATAAAGAACCAACATTAAGGAATCTGCCGCACCTTGGAGCCCAGTATAAATGACAAATAAGTTTTCCTTTAAAGCCCAATTAAATTTGAAACTAAGAATTACCTTGAAAAAGACATGGTGTAAAAATATTAATATCACCTAAGTGATCTAGGTTTTTTTGCATTTTCATGAATGATTTAGAGCCAGATTTTTAAACGTATGTAGGTGCCTGAAGATGCTTAAGTCAGGCCAGATTTAAAAGCTTAAGTGTTTCCAAAATCCTTACCTCTATACTTAGACACATTTACAATACCTAGACTCCTAGATCACTTAGGAGTCTAGATTTTATCAACAGCCAATAAAAAAATCAAGGTGTTTTGCTAAAGCAATGCCCAAATTTGTTGCATCTGCTACTTCAGTTCCAAGCAGAAACATAGATTCAAAACATGGTACAAATGAGACCTATGGTCTTATGGCCAGTCTTAAAAGTAATCTAAGCAGTCTGAGAAAACCCAAGGAATTCATAATCTTGTAAGAAACTAAGGAACTAGGGAAAG